ACTGCTGGTTCCCAGCCTTTATTTTTAAAAATAAATATTTAAATATACCAGAGAGCTGTCAAAGCTATTTCAAAAACAAATGGCAATAAATGGTAGCATATGATGGATTCATGTATGTCAAAAGCACTGCGATGTAACTGTATGTGTGTGTGGTTTTTAAAGGCCTAATAAGACTATCAATGATGGTCACCTCAGGGTAGTAAGATGAGGGTGGCTGGGAGTTTTTATATTTTTACCATATGTTGTATTTCTTATTAAATGAAATTTTAAATGGCACCTATGTAACAAGAGCAAAAAATATATATGCTCTTCCTGTATCCCTTAACATGCATGATTCCAAGCACTGTAGGACCTGGCATAAGTCTTCTTCCCAGACTAATTTCTCAGACTTGTTTACATTACGTAGGTGCTGATGCACTTTTGTGTGATGGGAAACGTGGGTTGACTGTTGAAGCTGGGTTGTCTGCTAGGCCTACCTGCTTTGCAACTAGAATAGGAAGGGCTGCCAAGCTCTTTGTGAAGAGAAGCTAAGGCCTTTGCTCCTCCCCTTGAGGACATGCCAGAATTCGTTCATTATTTTAGCTCTTCAAAGAAATAAGTAAAATTCATGATTATTTTCCCTTTCCAGCCCATGTTAGTTTTACATGTTTTTTCTTTTTAAAAATTTGTCATAGGGCACAGTAGTCCTCTCTTAATCTGGCGTGTTTCCAGAGAGGCAGAGAGAGAGAGAAAAACATGCCTTAGGGATGGTCATTCTGCAATCTTTTCTCTTCCAGTCTCCTCTCTGGATTTTGGGCATGCACACATATGCGCCCGCCATGTTCCTCAAGTCAGTGGTTTGGGGACTGGAACTGTGAAGTCGGCCATGTGGAATCCAGCCACCTTAATCATCATGCCACTGGCTGGCCCGGTTTTACATATTAAGAGTATCTATGAACTTACCTTGTTCAGTATATTTTGCTTCTTGTATAGCAGAAGAGCCAATAGAAGAGATAATAAATTTACCATATGGCCTGTTTCTTTCCAAAAATCTTCATTTCTCCAAAAGATTTTTAGGTATTTAAAAATTTAAAAAGTGATGGTAGCCCATAACTGCTAGAGATAATGTGTATGAAATAGCTTTGGTGGAAACAAAATGCTAAACAAACAGAAAGTGGATTTTTACAGATTTCTAAATTCAAAAATTATCATGTTCATCTTTTGGTTGTCAATTTTAAAATTTTATCTCCTTTATACATGAGAGTCACCCTCAACAGTCTTTACATTGTGGTTCTCCCTCCTCCACCCCAACCTGCTAGCCAATTAGGATTATGGAGTGCCCAGCAGATTGAGGTGGACCCAGAGCCTTAGCACATGGTCTCCATCTTCACACACAGTGCCCCTACTGGCTGTTATTTTTTACATTTTCAAAATTCAGGAATAAAGAAAATAAGACAGTGCATGTGTAAGTCTTTCTGTTGGGATCATGTTTGGGAATCTGGCCAGTCAACTGGTAAGAGAAAAGTGAACTGCTCTTCTCAAACTCATTCCCACTGAGTGTCCAGCTCACCCAAACAATACCAAAATGAGTTATAAAATATTAACTACAGTGGTCCTCTTAATCATGGTTTTGCTTTCCATGTTTCAGTTACCTGTGGTCAACTGTAATCTGAAAATAAGTATTATGCATCAAGATATTTTGAGAGAGAGATAATGTATTGTAAGTATTCACTGGGGTCTTGGTATGTTTCCCTGATGTGTATAAAGGAGGAAGTACTGTGTTTCTCCCTCAGTCATTCAGATGATGAGAAATGAAGTATCTTAGCCAAATGGGGAAAGATGAACCTAATCAGCTATTGTTTGTCCTGTGGTTTGCTACCTCCTCAATCCTAAACTGGGCCCCTTACTCCAGCCCCTCAATTAAAATACCTTTTACCTCATTTAAATTGCTATAATTGCTGTAGCACATTAGAAGGCTTTTTGTTTGGTTATTGTGATTTGGCCTCATTTTAAGGTGTATCACCTACTGATTTATCTCCATAAAATATTAGAACTGGAGAGAATTTTGGTGATTCTAGCACAAACCTCTCATTTTTGACAGTTGAGACCAGTCCAGAAACATTATACCAGATAACAGCATCACAAGTGACAGGTGGAGCTGGGACTAGAACTGAGTCTCCTGAATTCAAGGCTATGTCAAATTGAGTATCTTCTTTTCATCTAAAAATGTATTATTCTTTAAGGTGTTTTGTGAAAAAGGAGTTTAAAAACAACAACAACAACAACAACAAAAAACCAGGCAGATTAAATGAAAGCAGTTTTTCACCAGACACAGGTTACGGATCACCTAGGGTCAGGGTTGTTTATTCATCGGCTTACTTTGGGCAACTATAATGAGTGATATTTTTTAGTGTAGCAGAGACTGTTCCTTGGGTATAAAAATATCTCGATAGGTTATTTTACATGTGATAGGAACTTTCAAGGCGCTATTCGGAAAGAACAGGAATAAAAGAACTATATTTTCTCTCATAAACTGGGAACTCCCAAGGTCTTTGGAAAGAAAGAAGTGATTGGGGGAAGAAAAAAAGAAGCTAAAATTTCAATAAGAGGTGAAGGCAGGATTGTACTTGGGGATGAAACCTGTGAGAATGGTTAAAAAAGACCCTTTAAGAACAAGACATACACAATGCAATGTTATTACCTGACTATGCAGTACCACCCTCCTCCTGCTGGTTACTGTGAAAACTTCAGTGAGGCTCTTGTGTTGATGGTACTTGGGGGACAGTATAGTTGGTAGAGAAGAGCTGGACAAGCCAGAATAGAGGAGAGGCAGAGGCAGAGGATATAAATGCCCTGCCTCTCCACCTCAACCCACAAAAAGTACACCAATTTCAAAAAAGAGATGATACCAGGAGTATTTCACCATGGAAGGATAAAGAAGCACTATTCAAATCTTAAAAGATGGTAGAAAAGTTGGGATACCTGGGCAGTTGATACTTAAGCTACAATAATATAGTCAGCTACATTCAGAGAAACCAAGTTCCTGGCTATGTGTGGTGACACCACCAGCTGTCCTGGGGTCAGGAGACACTAAGACTACATGTATCTACTAACCCTGGATGTGAGTGAGCCTGCTCTTAACAGAAGGCCAGAAATTGAAGGCTGGCAGGGCTCCCATGTTTGATCCTCTCTCACTGACTTACCAGATTATTGTGCCACTTAGGTGACAAATCCATCTGATAAAAGCAGTATCGAACTCAATCTTATTAGATATGTTATTGAAATGGAGGTAATGATCAAATTTGCACACATTATACTTTTCTATGAATTTCGAGTATAAATACAAAGACGTTTACCTAAAGAAATAATAAACAGGGGTGGAGGTGAGGAGGCCCATTTAGAAATCCTAGCATTAGGTCTAGCCACTGAGGCACAGCAGTAGTGCTAGCATCCTGCAGTGCTGGAAACCATACAGTGACCATAATTCAGATCCTGGGTTTGTCTGAAAAACACACTGGGCTCACACATGGCTACCCAGCATCCTGAGAAGCTGCAAGGCTGAGGAAAGAGAACCACGGCACAAGAGCTTTCTTTCTACCTTCCCCTCCCATGTGTGTACATCGTGCTTCCTATCATAAAAAGGGGAAAAAATCCTAGCATTAACCTAAGAAGAGTTTGCTTTAGTCACTGCTTTTTCTTTAATTCTATCAGGAAATTTCTACATATAAATTCATTAATACCCACTTGATTCTTTTTCCAAAATGGGAATATGTTTTCTTTTATAACACATTAAAGTCATTGTCTCATCCCTAAATATATATAAAATATTGCTCAGCACACAGTAAGCAATTCATTATTTATTCACACACAAATAGTACACATCTACCCCAAGACAAGCTGAATCCTTTTATACTTAACACATTATAGATATTTTTTCCTGTCAGTACATTCTTTATAATGGCTATGTGGTTTCATAAGTAATTCAATCCCAGATTAATGAACACTCAGTCTATTTATCTTTCTATTCTTTTTCAAACACTGCTGCAATGAATACTCTTCCTCATTCTTTTGTCTTCACTTGTAACATTTTTCCATAACAAATTCCACACACACACACACACACACACACACACACACAAAAGAAAGAAAAAGGAAAGTACTGTTTTAAAAATTATCTGCATTTTGAAAATTTGTATCTGATGATGTTTTTAAAAACATCTGATTAGTTGGGACCAGCAGTTGGTGTAAGGGCTATGTTGCTGGACTCCCATGTAGTTGACTGCAGTTCAAGTCCTAGAGTCACGCCAGACGCGTGTGAATGCATGCCCAAGATCCTGAGAGAATGGAGGAGAAGGGATTGCGGAGTGCCCATCTCCCCTGGGGGATGATTCCTCGCCCTCGGTCTCTCCACCTCTCTGTCTTTCTGGCAAGCCTATGTGCCCTATAGCAAAAACCTCTCTGAAAAAAAAAAGAAAAAAAAAAACTGACTAGCATCTTATTTAAATCAAATTCTTTCTAGAATTACAAAAGTTTAAATTAATGTTTAAAAGTTGCTGGGGCCAGTCCATAGCCTGATGGTTAAGGGAGCTGGATCCCCCATGGCCAAATACATGGTTCAAGTCCCAGATATGGTGGCTTGAACATCTGTGTGTGTGGGTGTGAGTGTGCGCGTGTGCACGCACATGCAAAATTCCAAAAGAAGGGGGAAATGAAGGAGAAGGGACTGCAATGAGACCATGCTTCCATGGGACGCGCATTCTCATTCTCTCTCTCTCTCTCTCTGGTGAGTCCATGCGCGCTCTCTGGCAAACTTAAAACAAAAGCTGAATAGTTCCTTGTACACAAGGATATATACAAAAATGTCATTCTTCAGGCAACTTATTGCCAGAAAGTTTAGATCACATACCTATCATTTGAAACAAGATGACTAGTAAGAGAAAAGTCTCTAATATTTTTAATGGAAAGAATATTATTTGTAATTATGCTCTAAGATGTTACAGAATTAAAAGTAATGAATTTCAGTCAGTATAAAATAGTTTTATTGTCAATAATCAGTTATCAATACAACCCAGGTAAATGAAATATCACTTCATACAAGGCTCAGATACTCTAAAATGCTATCTTGCTTCACACACATACTATAAAATGATAAATACTTAAAAATTACAATGCAAGAAAAAATATTACAAAAAAATACAATTGCTGTACACCTTTGTATGAAAGTTCTTTATTTTCCAAGTTCTGACTTGGAAAATAACTCCATGCTACTTATCAGATTCCAAAGAAAATGGTGTTCCTTGAGGTTACACTACTCGATTTACTACATGCTCTCCAAAATACCGTGTCTGACAAGAATCAAAAGTGACAAAGCCTTCAATGATGTTTAGGAAGAGTAAGAGAATTGGGTGGTGAGTGGATAACCAAGTATTCTATGCTGACTGCTACTAGAATGTTTAATAGCTTCATTAAACAATTTATAGCACTGACAAGAGTGCTACAGAAAAGAAAACAAACAGGACCAGACTCAGCTGAATACATACAGGATTTCCAAATCAGAACATACGTAGGCCTTGTTGCCAATGCCTCAATCCCTTACATGGACTCCTTGTCCTCTGTCCATGGGCTTTCTAATTTCTTTGTAAGAGTGTACAAGTATACTTCTTTCTATTTTCTATCACCCAAAATTCAAACTGAACATTGTTAAGGCAAACAACAGAAGTTACTGGTATGGCCAGTTCTAAAGACACATTCTGGTTTGGACATTAATTGATGAGATTCAGGCATATTCACCCCCTCTTCTACATATACTCCCACCTTCCCTTAAATATAAACCCCACCTCAATTTTGAGGAAATACAAAGCCTTAGAATTTCTTTTTCCTTAATCAATGATTCGTTTTTCAGCAAGTTGCTTCCATTGGTAGGAATATCAGAAATTGTTTGGACTGCGGAATCAGAAGACATCAAAAGGATGTAATCAGTGAATTATTGTAAGCTATCATAGAAGGCTTCTGCAGGCAGACAGGAAGAATGAATATACATTATGGATTTCCCTCACTCATTTCAGAAAGGAGAAAAATGTGCCTTAAGGGAAAAAATAGATAAGAAAATATAGTAAAAAAGTATTAATACTGTAATAATAGCAGGGAAGGGAATCCTTTTAGCTAACCTGCCTTGCTGGGAAGCTTCTGGCATAAAAATTAAGCTTTTTCTCTCATAACTTTACACACAAGATTAACAGTTACTTTACATCAAGAAGGGCAGAGAGCCACTTAAAACATTTCTCTTCAAAGTCAGGTATTTCTTTTTGAAATAAGCTTTATAGAAAGGAGGACAAGGCAGAGAAAGCTCACTCAAAAAGGTCCTCAAACATGCGCTGTCCCATTGCTATATACGCTTCCTTCTCCTCTGGTGTCATCTGGGCCACCAGCTCTGGTCGCTGGCTCACTTCACTGTAGGAGAATGGACGACCAGCTACCATGACAGTGGGGTCATCTGCTACTTCCTCAAACTCATCGTCTTCCTCATCCTCTTCTCGATGATGTGAAGTCACAGCTGCTGGGCGAGGTGGAGAGTCATCATCTGACTCACTGGTCTCACTCTCCGAGTCGCTGCCATTGGCAGCAGTCACAGGAGCGGCCGCCCCCACTGAGCCAGCCGTGGCAGAAGAAGTCTTCTTCTCATGAATGAGCAGTGCTCGCATGACCTCCTCATTATCGTCAGGCCCTGAACGGCCTTCCTCACGCTCCTGAAATGTGTCCATATCTATGCCACCTGGTGGGGGGGTAAAAGTCAGAAAGTCAATATCCTAAAATATAAAAAGCAGCTCTGTATAATTAATTAAAGACATATTTTAATATATTGTATTTAAATATACAATAACACAATAAAATAACACAGACTTCACTGGTTGGATTTTGCGCCTATAGGATACTCAGAATGTTTCTCACAAACTGGAGTGTAAGTAGCATAATGGTTAAGCACTATTCACGTGTATTAAGAGTAACACAGCACGGATTTGAATCTAGGTTCTTCCACATGTCAGCTATATTATCTTGGGCAAATTATTTAATTTTTAAATTTCAGTATTATTTTGCAAATTGGGATGAGAAAGCATCTACTTCCTAAGGCTCTGGGATAGAAACATATGAAATGCTACCTATGAAGAGTCAATATACTAACTGGTGTAACAGGCAATCAAAACATGGCCCTGACTTTATTCAGAGTAAATGCCAAAGGCTTTACAATAAAGTCTTGGATCTCTTTGATTCCCTCCTGACTACCTACCTCTTAATCATTCTCTTTCCTCTTATCTATGTCTTCTATGTCTTTACTCCAATGCCACCTTATTTTAATTTATGCCATCCTTACATTCCCAATGCTCTCTATTTTTTTTTCCACCATAGCACTTATTTTCTAATATAATTTATGTCTACTGTCTTTGTCAAACTCTTTCCACACCAGGGGTGCAGTGGTTAAGGTGGCCAACCACTTTGAGTCCCAGACCCAGAGGTTTGAAAACACATCAGGCACATGTATGTGCTGCCCAAAATCCTGAGAGGAGGCAGAGATGGAAAAGAGAAGTGACTGCAGCATGATTGCTCAACCCCCCGGGGGGTACTTTCTCAATTTCTCTCTCTCTTGCTCTGTCTCTCTCTGGTGAGCACATGCACCCTTTGGCAAAATTTAAAAATAAAATGAAAGAAAGAAAAGAAAAGCGGAATCAAAAGAGATCAGAACTTTCAGTATGAAAGGACATAATTAATGTCTATAAAATTCTGAAAGATACAAACATGACTTGAAGTTTGAGGAAAATTAAGTATAAGAAAAATAAGACTTGCTTTATACATTCACTGGATAGAGCCTATTCTATAATCATGAAATATAACAAAGACAAATTTAAATAGATATAACAGTATTCTACTCTATTTTATGGAGAAAGAAATATTCACAAAATTTAATTCAGTAGACTAAATGACTTATTTAAGGACTATGTGATTCATAGTCTATCATTTTAGAAATTTAAAACAGAGAATATTAAAAGAATGAGCTTAATTATATAGTCTTCCAAAAGTTCATGGAAAATACATAGTATATAAAAACTATGCATGGATTTCAAAACTGTTTTGTACCAAAGAAATGTCATACTTTAATTCCATTTTTCAATGAACTTTAAAAAACTCTTCATATGTAATACTGGTTAATAATAGTTTTAAGTTATTCAATTTTGTTTCTAAGTTTAAGGGAAAAGAGGTTTGTTGCTTCAAGAACAGATAGGAAGGTCAAGCTGGAAAAACACATCTATCAGTTATACAGTCTAACTGTATAGAAGCTAAAACAATTCTAATCAAAATACACAAACACAGCAGGCTAATCAGTAAGGAGGAGGAACAGTAAACTACAGTTGTCAAGGAATTTTATTTCTGATTAGAACTAAAGCATCAAAGAGAATCACACTAGAGGTGCTACTTATTATACCAAACTTCACACGTCTTTCACAATTCTAGTATACACGTAATGCTAAATGCTAATTATGAAACAAAAACAAGTTAGGAGGAGAGCCAAGAAGCAAATGGTTTTCAAGTACTTGTGATTCTTTAGCAGTAAACAAGCATACTTGGTTGATATGTTAGTAATGATACATAACCTAGGAATAGGGGCACATAGATTAAGTTGATGAAATCTGACCAGAGGTACACGGGCT